GCTCTTCCGTTCGCTACGCGATTTCAATCGCGAGATTGGTCTCATAGTCAGCGTCTAAGATCCATTAGATTCCTCGTCTAATATCGAGGCAGACTAGTACGATGGTTTTTGTCGCGCGGTCATAAATATTCCGTAGCGGTTGCAAATAGATGCTACCTACGGCTAAGTACTGCGAGAAATTGCTAATAGATCGTTAATAATTCGCTTACCGCACAGGGGTTCCGATTGCTCAACGCAATAAAAATAAATTGTTTCTGTTTCTCTTTGCTCGTCAGGCGAGATTACCACGCGCGAGCCGCTCGATCGTGAAACGAAAGACGTCCATGAGCTGGTCCTGGAGGCGCGGGATCAAGGAACACCGTCGAGGGCCGCCAGGGTGCCTTTGAAGATCATGGTTTTAGATGTCAATGACAACTCGCCTGAAATCGTCGATCCTCAAGGGGAGAACGTTAGCGTTAGAGAGGAGCAACCACCGGGAACGGAAGTCGCCAGAGTGCGAGCACTGGACACGGATCTCGGTGAGAACGCTTCGGTGACCTACAGTATCTTGAAAGGTAAGACTATTACTATTAATGTTAATTTAATTTATTTCGGATGTTATGTCTTGATACACAAGAGAGAGAGAGAGAGCGATTCCATCTCGATTACTTATTAATTGCTGTGCGTGACTAATCGGTTATGCTCTGCTCGCCTAATTGAAGGAACCTGCGCTTTTGCCTTACGAATATATATGATTATATCTCAGTAAGAAAATATATAAATTATAATTATAGTAGTTGTGTATACGCGCGCGGCCAATAATTGCGTTGCTTCGTTACGAGAATGCCGGCAGTTGCGGAGAGTCGGGAATAATAGAGAAATAGCGAGGAAGTACTTACGTGCCGGAGATTAGACAGCGCCGACTTAGTTTTTTACCGATCTTTCTTTCTCTCTCGCTTTCTCTCTTGTCTCTCGTGGAAGGGCGAGACTTTTTGAAACTTTAATAACCCAGCAGCAATTACAGAAACAATTATGCACGGTCTTAAAAGCAGTCGCAAGCGTTCTTGCCGGGCGTGTTGTTATCTGTTAGAAACGCATCGTCTATGAAGAATGCGCACGCGGCCCATTCCACGCCGATTACAATCGGCATTGAATTTGCCCGATTGCGTGTATTTATAGACATAAAAAGACAAACGAAAAAAAAATTTCGATCATAAGATTAAATATTAACATCGCTTATTCGGGACTTGTATTATCGTAGAGCGATGTACCTTTCTAGTCCAAGTCTAGCATATTTCATTCCGCGCTTTATCGCGACATTTATTTCGCACATACATGCTTCTCTCTTTGGAGTAAATAACATATATATCGAATAACTTTTCTATTCCATGTCGAACTTAATACTTAATTTAACTCCACGTTAAATTTCGAAAAAGCTCGTCTAGTTCTTTAATTTTGTTCTCTTTGAATTTTTATCGCTTAGAGTATATTTTCGATCGGTATCTGATTCTGTTTTTCATCTCAGACCGAGATTCAGATGGTTACAACGTCTTCACCATCGACCCGATCACCGGCATGATCAGGACCAAGGCCGTGCTTGACCACGAGGAGCGCAACGTATACCGGGTGTCTGTAAAAGCGACCGATGCTGGGCATTTGCCGCGACACAGCATCCGTGCGTTGCGAGTCGAAGTTCTGGCACTGGCAGATAATCGACCAACCTTCACCAGCAGCAGTCTTACCTTTAACGTAAGTACCATCGATCTCATCATCTAGTAGAATTCATTTATACGCCGAAATGTTTTTAACTTTGCTGGAGAGATGCTATTTATGTATAATCCTTTTTTTACAATTACTCATTAGAATCTTGATATATAATTTAATATTTTTTTTAAATATTATTAATTGTCAAAAACTCGATATTTTATATTTAATTTTTTTTCTGTTATAATAATATTTTTAAAAAAGCAAAAATAAAATACAAATAAAGAAATATTCTAGAATATATAAATATTTTTATCATATTTCGATTACTAAATCTCTGTCTACTCATTATCAGTCTTGTTCAATACACAAGTTAACTTTAATAAAGAGAATATTTTTACGAGAGATTTGAGAAATACAGAAAGGTAGATAATCACACGGAAATTAAACAATATACGTTTAATGCATGTAGGTGCGTGAGGATGCAAGTATCGGGCATGCGGTGGGGTCGGTGTCGGGGGCGGGTCCTGCGGGTCGTGTGGCCTTCACCTTGATCTCGCTGACGCCGATCAGCGAGTTTCCCGCTTTCGACGTCGACCGTAGCTCAGGCCAGCTAGTGGTCGCGCATTCCCTTGATCGCGAGAACGTAAGTGAATACTACTTGGAGATCCGTGCGTTGGACACGACCTCGATCGGGAATCCTCAAAGTATCGCCGTCTCCGTAAAGATTGTCATAGAGGATGCCAATGACAATGCGCCGAGATGGCCACAAGATCCGATAACTATTCGCGTCTCTGAAAGAGCGACGATTGGCTCAACCATTTACAATCTCACGGCTAGCGATTTGGACAGTGGTTTGAACGGCGATCTTAGGTACGGCCTCGTAGATGAGTTTCCATCGAAGGGCTGTTTTGCTGTGGACTCTTTGACGGGTGCTCTGACGCTAGCTAAGCAACTGGACAGAGAGGAAAGGGCGGACTATACTTTGATCCTCAAGGCATCGGACCGCGCATCTCCAGGAGAGCAATTAGCCTCCACGGTCACCGCAAGAATCATCGTCCTTGATCAAAATGACAATGATCCTGTCTTCGTCGCGCCAGAGTCTACCAAAATAGCCGTCGCGTCGAATCTTCCGCTAGGTAAGTGTTATATCTCGCAAGCTGTATTACAAATCTATACATAATAGGATGTTTAATTAAAATTCTTATATTTCATTAGGTGCGAGCCTGGTAAGAGTCGTCGCCATAGACAAGGACTCTGGTGACAACGGTCGAGTGTCTTATGTGATAACTTCAGGCAATGAAGAGGCACGTTTTACTGTGGGCTACGAGTCGGGCATCGTGAGCCTCGCGAAGCCCGTCACGAGATCCACGGATCTCGAAATCACGGCCAATGATCACGGATCGCCGCCTCGTAAGGCTGTGTTGAAGTTGAGTTTGATTCCTGTGACGACGCAGATAAACGGGCCTCCTCGGTTACTATTGCCCAACCCCATCGCCAGGATTTCCGAAAATTTGCACATTGGGACGTCCATATTGAGCGTCGCAGGACCAGCAGTTGCGGATCAAGGTAAGAAAAAAGACTTAACTATAAGCATTTTATTGTAATTGCCCGTACGTCTTTGCCGTTACACGTCAATTAAATTAACGAAACTCGACCTTTCATTACGCAACTTATAGTCACGACCGAATATAAAGTTATCATTAGTTTAACGACATCCACACCGTCGGACCAGATTAAGCGGTTTTCCGATTTAAGATCTGAAGCAATGTAAACGCATGGAACAAAGCGAACAAACGCGGCCGAAACTTATCGATAGCAGGCGTAATAAGGATGCGCGGAAGCATCGAAAACAGAAGCTCCTTTTATATACTTCATCCTCATTGTTTCGGTGGTGCACGCATAAAGTCGCTGGTGCGCGATGCAGATAGGGCTGTCAATTTAGCGACGTTTATGGCGTGCACAGCTGAAATTACAATCTGCTATCTCTCGCTCTTCCCCGGTCGTCTCACTCGCATTCAGACGATCGCGATTTTGTCTTTCTTTCTCTGTCTTCAATGTAGATAGTATATGTCGAAGATGCCGCTCTGTACACGCCACCTACATATCACGCGCAAATCGTGTACGCGCAAGGGCGAACATAATCGTGAACACTCTCACCGCGGTTAATAGGAAAGCCCTGCTACGAAAATACCTCGAATAATTGCCTTGAATCCGGTCAGGGTACCGAGCATTATAGTAAATTCAGTGAAATGACTCACGCGGCTCGGGCTCTCTCGAGGATCGTCGGCAACGCGTTCCGTCCGTACGTAAAGCTCCGGAATACCCCGCTGCGGTGACTCTTCCCCTCTGTTCGTTTCTCTTCTCGATCGTCTTAAAAATCACGAGCACAGGTCTCTACCGAGAAAATTCCGACGCAACGGCTTCGTCTCGGAGAATATCGACCCGGGGAACACGTCCTCGGATTCTTCTCTTTCGGAAAACGCGATAACGAGTTTTTGCGAGCGAGCTCGTTCGCATTATTTACGACACAAGTCGTGTCATTTTTCGCGAGACGTGCGGCAACTCGCGCTAATTATCGTCGCGGGAGTTTCACAAGTGACTGAACATATTCATGGCATACATTAGTATTTTTGTGGCGAATAACGTCCGACTAGAAGGCGAGTTGTGTTTCGAAGGTAAGATATGAAAATAGTGAGTCGATAAATATCATAAAAAAAATCATCATACGACTTGAAAGTCGCTCATTCCGGAAATATCGATCCGACATGATCGCGCCTCGCGTGTATTCGTACCAACACCTGATGAGATTTTTCATCATGTGAAAAAACTAGTGATAAGCAAAAAGCCAATTACGCTGCGTGAATGTCTGATAAACGATAATATTCCACGCGATCGCTAAACGCATATATCTTCAAGCTCACACGTATGATGGTTACACGTACATATTTTGCGGATCATTTCTTCGCGCTAGATCCGCATACTTATTCCCAACACGGGAGCGATTTGATCTAGCCGGTTTGAGTCTGATGAACAGTTAAATCGCGCGGAAGAGTCTGTGCTTCTCGTACGGTAAACTAGTAGCCGCTGAAGCCGACAACATGGAGTATCTCTTCTGGTTTTGCGCTTATCTATCGCGACACCGGAGTAGCGCATTAACGCGCCCCGCCAATGGATCCTACGTATCCCGAGGGACTTAGCTGTGTGCTCGGTAGTATACAGGGGAAGGTTGCAAAGTGTATGCGCGAGCGGGTGGAGAATCAGAGGGTATTAGAGAGGACGAGGCGAAACAATGGCCACGTATATCATCGTGTCGCCGGCTTGCCGCGGTACGCATAGGCAAATCACCGGGAGCTCCCATACCAACACCGATAACCGTCATACACGGCGATTCCTCACGTGTGTACGTGTGACGCGAAGCTACGTCTCGCCGCGAAGCTACCGGACTAGAAACACGACGAAAGATGGTCACGAACGCGAGCGTGCTGCGAATGGACGTATGTGTGTCGCATCCCTTTGTTCTAAGCCGGCTAAAAATCCGACGAGCATGGGCTCGCTAAGTGCTGGAATTCGAGAATCGAATGCATTAAAGTCTCCGCGCTCGAATCGTGAAAATCTGCAGACGCTACGATTTTTCGATAATATTCTATTATAAAAAAAAATCTGCCGATTCGCGAAGACGATTGCGAATTTTATATATTGTTATATAGTGAATAATAAATTTTTTATTTCGCTTTATACAGGTAACGTCACCTTCACGATTCCGAATGATGTGGCCTCGAACAAGTTCGCCATTACGCCTAGCGGTGTAGTCACTCTTCGAGGTTCCCTGGATCGCGAGAAAGTCGCGCGTTATTCCGTTTCTATTCTGGCGAGATCCAGCAAGCTTTTGGACATCACTACTCTGGAGGTGTTTGTGATGGATGAGAACGACAACAATCCGGAATTTCGGCCAGGCTCCTGTTATACTCTTGCTGTACCAGAAAACCAGGAAGTTCCCGTGATCCACACCATAGCCGCGACTGATCTTGATGAGGAAAAGAACGGCGAAATCTTCTACAGTATCGTAGGTGAGTTATCCCATTAGATGCATAATGTGTGAAATCACGATTATGAGAATATAAATGTTTAAGCTTCAAATTTCACATTCTCTTTTCCAGGTGGCAATATCGGCGCCAAGTTCACTCTGGATCCAACCACCGGTGTATTGTCGATGTCAAATCTGGATCGCGAGACCGTATCCAAATATGTGCTGACGATTTCGGCCAAAGACAAGGGAAGACCCAGCCGAGAAGCGCGTTGCAATCTCACCGTGATTGTGCTGGACATCAACGACAACGCTCCGACCTTCGTACAGAATCAGTATACCGAATCTCATGCGCACAATAATTTTCCGTACGGATCGTCAAACTATCCGGCGAATTATTATCCCGCCAAATATGTGACAACCATCTCGGAAGACGTTGCGCCAGATTCGAGTGTAATGTCCGTAAAGGCAACAGATCCAGACCAGGGTGTAAACGGGAAGATCACATATGCCATTGCCGAAGAGACAAGCTGGCTCTTCAGGGTCGACAACCTGACCGGTGTTATTACCACGGCCGGGTGAGTGCACACGTCTCATCGTTCGCTTTTTTACATACATTTTCTTTTCTTTCTCCGCTTTCTGTCACTCTCGCCGTTTCCTTTCCCTTCTGACCATCTCAGTTTCCTTCTCATTCATTTTATCTCTTTTCTTCTCTTGCTTTCTTTCCCTTTCTTTTCCATATGCGAGTATTGCTTTGCGCGCGATCTTGGCTACCAACCGACTAATTTCATCCTGGCGTTAATTACCGCGACCTTTATTGCACATCCGATTAGGATCACCCAGGGGGATATTAGCGGTCGGTAGTAGCGTCGTAAAATGGGAAGTGGAGACGCACACATACACAAAGAGGATCATGGAGACGGTTCTTAGCAAAAAAAGCTCGACGTTCTCTAAGGTGGGGGAGAAAGGAAAGGAGCGGCGCGGTCTAGGAACGTCGTAAAATTATAAAGTCAGTCGATGCGCTTTACGAACGACGTTCTATGGCCGATTAAACGATTCTGTATGCATAACCCGTCGACACAAACCAAGATGCTCTTCCTTTTTCCCCATCTCTTTCTCTCTCTCTCTCTTTTGTCGCCGCACGTTCGCTCTTTGCTATGTCCGTTCGTTCCTCTCGATCCGTGTGTGTATCTCTTATGATTACATGTGCAATAAACTGATACTCGGGACGTCATTAAAGCGAAGACTTTCCGTGGCTTCCGTCCATCCTTCCAAACAGCAAGGTCGTGGTTTGTTAATTAATGGATTATTTTGATGCAAGCTGTGAACCTTAATCCCGAGCGAAATCCAGCGTACCGATGTAATCGTTAATCGTTGTTCGTCATAATCGATGTTAATCGTTCAATGCGATCTTAGATGTCGTACGAAAATCTCGTGAAGGAAGATCTCAACAGCTAATTGTGCATGCGCAAACTTCGTGGAAATAGAATTCAATTCATCAGTCGAGTTTTTTTTATACAAAATATTAATTTTTATGAGTGGATGATGATAGTTCCGTAGTGATTAGAAGACGTCTTTCCATGTCACCGTCTGACATCTCCTTTCTCTCCTCGATCAATCAACCTCTCAAAGTGACCGAGTAAAACACTCCCACGCCAGGAATATACATGCAATTTGCTTGTTGCATTATATATCAATATAACCGCCATAAACACTCATGGCGCCGACATTACATCCAACATCGCTATGATTGACTATTCGCACTTTAATTCTCAGTCGCCAATTGGTCTTCGATCTTGATTTACTATTACAGTACAATTTTCATTGACTGCAGCCGTGGTTTACGTGATTCTTATCGTTTCTACTTTCACTTTTTACCACTTTTGCTCTCGTTTACCCAGAGATGAGCGAACTAGCGTAGCGAACGTAGGAAGAGAGGGTAGGAGCACTAAATCGTGGAGGAACGAGAGAAGCTGCTCGACGATACTGGGAGTGTCGGTAGCCATGAGAAGAAGCGCAGGGGAAAGCGGTCGCATACTTTTGCATCGCGACAGCCGTGTGTCATTTCAGCGAGATGCCATGTGGCATTTCAATGCATTATTTCAGCCGGCAAAATGTCTGATATGCAAAACCAGATCTCGCTCGGGCCGCTCTTTCGTCGTGCGTGTATTTCTCCCTCCTTCATCGTTTCTCTTCGCTCTTTTTGAATGCGGTCATCTCTGTTTCTCTTTCTCTTCTCTTCCCTTCTCCTTCTGTGTTTAGTATTCTCTTCCTCCGATCAGTAGCCGCGGACCCGGCTTTCGTGTCGCCTTGTTGCTGTTGTTCTTACTGCACAACGGTCGTCCCTGTTACCTTTGGAAGCCAGCCGCTCTGCGGCACGAGAAGAAGGTGTACGAAACATTTTTCCCTTTTTCATTCTTGGACCACCCGGTAGATACAGGTGCGGGTCAAACGAGGACCAGTCCTCTTTAAAATGACTCGATAAATAGCGCGAACCGGTGGCAAGGACGACGAGACGATACCGGAGATGACGTGTCAACCGATCTCGCTGATCTCGTGCAGATAATTGGAGTATAAATCACTTTTGCGATCTAATAGGACACACTCCTCTATTTCTACATTTCTTTCATATATAAAGATCCTTATGTATATATTTGGCTTATTTACTATTTGAATGATATAATGCATGTGACATTTTCAAAATTGTCTTCTATTTTTTGAAAGATTTATTTTCAGTTAACAATAAGATGTTCTTTGTGCAACTATTATTCTGTTTGGATAGAGATTTGCAAAACTGCATGCTCTGCACGTTGAGAGAAACGGCGAAAGATAAAGCAGTGGAGTAGTTCGCTTCGCGCAATCGTAAATAAGCGTATCGAACTTGTGCACTACCGGCGTCCGATCATTATCCCACGCTTATTAAGAGTTATTGCGAGCGTTACGTTGCATCGCGAAGCCGCTCTGGGAACTTCTCTTGCTCGCCGATTGCGCGTAACTTTATAATAACATTGTTTTCAGATACAGTTTTTGCGAAATATCCGCGAATTAGTTTTAATAAATGATTCTGATAAATACTGGCTAGTAAAAATGGCCTATAAACTTTTTCCGAATACAATACATCATTAAAATAACATAATTATCATTACTCTTATTAATAAATAACGAACTATTGATATTGATTTAATGTATTTTCTTGAAATGTCAGATAAAGTAAAACTTTAGAAAAAATAAATTATTGCAATATTTTTTCTTACTAAATTATATAATTTCTTTAATTTAATTTTTATCATTCATTTTTTATAATAATTAATTTTTATTTTTTTCTTGTTCGATATAGTTCACTGGACCGCGAACGCCAAAACAGCTACACCTTTCATGTAGTCGCTACAGACAGTGGAAAGTACGATGCGAAGAGCACTTCGATTATCGTTGAGATCAACGTCAGCGACGTGAACGATAACGCGCCAGTTTTTGAGGAATATCCTTTTCGGACGCGTGTGTCTAGTGGTATACAGCCCGGTCAGAATATTCTACGGGTATCGGCCAACGACGCCGACGATGGTGCCAATGGAGATATCGTGTACTCGTTTCTGCAAGAGCAGGAAAAGCCAAAGTTTCGGATACATCCCAGCACCGGCGAAATAACAGCGAGCCTATCGCTGTCACAAGACAACGGCAAAATCTATCACCTGGAGATATTAGCCAGAGACAAAGGAAACCCGCCAAAGAGCGCCAAAGGTTTAATCGAGCTCCAAATCGGCGATTTCGCAGATCTAGCGCCAGCCCTCAAATTTCAGAATGATACGTACAACGTCGTTGTTCAAGAGAACTCCGCGGCCGGCACAGAGATTGTTCAGATCACCGCAGTGCGCACCGATGGCAGAAGACAGCATGTATCCTATTCGATCGTATCAGGAAATGACTTCGACACCTTCGCGATCGATGCAGGTACCGGTTTGTTGCGCGTCAATAATCCTACGAGACTCGATGCGGAGCTCTGGAACGATCTAACGGTGAAGCCTAGCGACGACTTGCCGGACGAAGCGACGCGCACCAATTCGTGGGGAAGATCTCTAGAAAATCAGCAGCCGAAGGAGCCTAGAGAAAGCTCGAGGCACATACTCAATATCATGGCAAAAACGGCGGGACCAGACATCCTAGAGGCGTACGTCAAGGTAATTGTCAGATTGTCCGATGTCAACGATAATCCGCCGATCTTCACGCAAACGCAATACTCGGCTACTGTGCTTGAAGGCAACGCCAAAGGAGACTTTGTCGTGAAGGTAAGTTTCATAAGATCTTACAGAATCGTTCTTTATATTTGGTGCATTATATGGCTTTTTTCAATTAAGCATTAAAGTAAAAATGTAAAGCAATACTAATAAACACTATCATCTTTATTTACTATTCATGAAATTCTTGCGTAAATTTTTATGAACATATATATATAAATTTTCGAGTCATATAAAAGAAAATATCTTAATATATATAAGTAGATACGTAAGACAGAATCATTCAAATATCGGATATTTGTATTTTCTTTATATATTTTATAGTACATTAATAAAGATATAAAAATATAGAATATACCGATATAAAAATGTATACAACTGGATATACACATCTTTACATTCGTCAATATTTGCTGCCGTAGCTTTCAGCAAATGACGCTGATCAAGGTCTGAACAGTAGAATCTTATATCATATTGTGGACGGTAATCCGGATAATGCTTTCACCATAAGTCCGCCGTATAGTGGAGTCGTAAGAACCAATATAGTCCTAGATCGTGAAGTCCGTGAAAAATATAGGCTAACTATCATCGCAACCGACCAAGGGAATCCACAATTAACCGGCACGGCTGCATTGAGCGTGCGGATAATCGATGTCAATGACAATCAGCCCACCTTTCCAAAACACAGTGTCATTTCAATCTCTGAAGGTAAGTCATAAAAACTAATATTATAATATTAAACCTGGAATTTTAAATATACTTTTTAAAATATCAGAATATAATATGCGCGAAAAATTTACGTGCATATTATTACGAGAATTACGTATAATCATCTATTAAATAAGTACAATATTCAAATTGTGTTCGTCAAGTTCAAGGCATTATATTATTATGCTTTAGTATTTAGAATTATCGAGCTTGTAGTGTTTGATGTGCCAGTTTTCTCTTTAAGTATCCGATCTTTGCATTTTTCAAATTGTGGCACCATTTCCTCGAGACTTTTGTCACCATCTATAATCATAACCGGCGCTGGTAAAGAGAATAAAGTTTGCCTATAGAGCCAGTCATCGTGAATTTCGTGGATTTGTCTTAGATATTCTAACGATACAGGGTCTTCTTCTTTGCGTCCACGTGCCTGCATTCTTTGATACACAACTTCTGGCGTAGTTCTTAGATATACTAAATTGCAAATATAATCAAAATATTATTTAATATAAAGATAAAAAAGATATTTTCTTTGCTTTAGTAAACAAATGTATGCACCTATTAAGTCTGCTCTTATATTAGTGTTTTCCATACACCAATCATACCATTTTTCTAAAATTACCACCTCTACATCTTGTATCATCTTTGTACGTTTCATATTTTCTAAAAAGCATCTTGCACCAAATATGGATCTTTCCATAACTTTATAGGGCGACAGTGTGCTCATAGTGTGTAATTTTAGCCTAGTTAATTGAGCATACGATTGAAATATAAAGGCATAATTTATTGGGTCCTTGTACAAGAGATCCTAAAAGCAGTATATAGCTTTTCTTTTAGTATCAGTATGACATGTAAAAATATTTTTTTCAGTAATTATATTAAATTTTTTAAAACTATATGGTTCTGTCATATATATCTGCTGTGACATTTTAATTTAAGATATATCTCAAATGCTGTTACAGCTGAAAAACTTACCAGCAAATTTACTCCAGCCACATTTCGCCATAAATCCACTGGTTCTTGTAAAATTGTAGCATTGTTAAAGTTTTGGAAGTGATTCAAAAATGTTGTTTTACCACTTCCAATATTTCCTTCTATACAGATTGTAAATGGATTGTTGTAGAATTTTCGTGGGGAGGCCATTATCTTGATACAAATAGAGCAGCGTCTTCCTGAACCTATATACAAACCTAATATAAACTAGTTGCATCAATATCAATTAATAATCGAATTATTTTAAGAAATTATCAGCTTATTGAACAATTTTATTATTTTTGCATATAATAAATATAAGTTTTCATACTTATTGCTATCATACTCATTAAATTATCACGAGATGCAAATTATTCGAATATCATAAGTAAAATAGTACCTATGGTAATTATCTTGATGATAACTATATCCGGTTTATTGTCTGTTATCGATTTACATAGACCACTTGCAAGAATTTCTTGAGGTTAGAGAAATACAGTTGTCTCTTATATATCCTTTGTATTATCATATATATTCGTCACGTAACACTATAAAACTGTTCGAAAAATACGTATTGTGACCATGCAAATCGACTAATGTTGACTGGTGTAGACTGATGTCGATGCACTGCCATACATAACACATGCTGGATCTGGACTACTGGACGAGGAATGTGTTTCCCGCCAAAAGTATACATCGCCATGTTTGTGCGTCACATGAAAAACCTGTTTGACATCTGTTCGATAATGCGAAAGGCGCGGTCAACTGTGCGCTTGCGTAGCTATATTCGCGGGAAACTTAAATATACAGATGAAAAGTCTCGAGGAAATGCCGTGAACCATCTAGTATTAAATCTTAAATAATTCAATAGAAAATGTGTTACAATCGTTTAGTAAGTTGGATATACATATCTGAATATATGTTAGAGAAAACGGATTACATTTAATATAAATTCATAAATTCTAAATTTATTAAATTGCGGAGATATGATACCTATACCAAATTTTATACTTGCGCTATTTAATTAATCTCATTAATGAATTTTTTAAATTTTATTATATTGCCTTACGAATATTACGGAGAGTAGTATCCAAATATTCAAGATATTTCTTTTTAATCGTAGATCATCGCAAAATGATGTTATAATCTCAAACTATTCTTAGTGTACGGTAATGTGAATTGCTCATCTGAATCTATCAAAGGCAATCACATTATGAATGTGGAATAGCAAGAGACTCGTTAAGACACTTGGTGCCAACGACAGTAGCATAGCAGTATCTATGATAATCCTGTCGGCAATATCAGGTAGGATTTCACCCACGATGACGATAGCTTGAGTTTCATTTTAGTCGTTGGCTCTCGAATGTCTACCCCCGCGATTCCCCCTCGAAATGCAACGGGTTCCATGATGGGTTCACTCCTCTCAAGGTCGCCCACGTGCGACGATAGAAGGAGAGGCAGTGGAGCTGCATGAAATGCCAGTGTATGAGAAAAGGAAAAAGAAGGAAGAAAAATGCATTTATTGATATCGCGACGCTATTGGTACTCTGAGATCATGCCATCATCTGTATAAAGACATCCAAATGAATAACTAGGACCGAATAAGAACCGAAGATTATAAACAAAACAACATTATATATATATATAAAATTAATGCTAAATTATCAAATATTATAAATCTAAATTACATTTTAAGTTAATTTTAAATAAATCTGGGTATACAAAAATTATGTTCAAGAAATATAATACATAGTTTGAATCATAAATGCAGTCAAGTCTATATATAGATTAGTATTTTTAGCAGAAGGTAGACGTACTTTACATTCCAAATAAAATTTTGATTTGCAACGAAAAGAGAATTCAACATTTGGAGAATGATATATACAGGGTGTCTCACAACAAATAAACGATGGTGAAGATGAATCGATGAAGAGCGCGAAAGCGAGAGAAGGCAGTGGAAGAGAGGGACTCAACTGCATTGAGAGGGCGGGAACGCATTCTACTCTCCAAGTATAAAGTTAAGTGGCAAAGGATTTATGCCGGCATTAAAGTCCAACTGTTCGGGACAATCTGCATAACTTAAGCGAGGCTGCCGAAGCGCGCGTTCGGTGGCTCGGCTTCTTTCTCTCTCTTTTTCTCTGTTCTCGGCACACGAGCCCTCTTCCTCTTCGGCCTTTCTCGCGTCATCATATTGTTCCCCATTGACAGATACGATTCAATGGAACGGCACGCAGGACTGAGGTGGCCGCGAGTTTGACGTACAAGCGCCAACCTCGCGCTACCACTTCTCGAGGCGCAGAAAAAGAAGGTCTCGTCTCGTCTCCTGTGAATTTTCTTTCGATCGCCATCGGTCGGCAGCTAGTCAACGAAGATGACGCGACGAAAAACGAGTGGTGATCGAGTAAATTCAACCGCATCGTCGAATAAACGAAGGCTGCGATGCGATGGTTTCGATGATGCCTCGAGCGGGTCGTTTCCTTCTTTTCTTATGGATCCGTTTCTTCTCCTATCGGATGGAATTTCCAATAGCGAGCAGGTGGCAAGTTACGCACGTTCTAGCAATCGTTGGAAGACGACGCGATTTAATAAGAGATTTCTTGGATCTTTTATTGCGATTGCATTTTTGTTTTCATCTTTGCTTTCCCTTGCTACCACTATTGCTGCGCTGCTATTTCTTCTTCTTCTTCTTTCGAGAACGTCCAACACGAAGATCGTAGGCACATACTGGCGCTCGTAATGGCATAATACGAGATTACTATCTAATTTGTATCGCCGTAAAACTCTTCAGCCTCGGTGTAAACGAGACTGCCACATCACGTTAACACACACGCGACGTCGCGTCAGGCAAAATTTATTTAACGTTGCACTCCTTTGGAAGCCCGTTGGCATCTTACAATTGCAAGTGCGACAGTAAAGAAATTATATCGTAGAGATATCGCTTTGCTAGAGATAATAAACTTTTCATAGGCCATTTATGATCCCTACATATATACGCTTTCAATTTCTGTGTGAATATCTCTTCGACCATGCCGCGGTTACGTGGCTAATGTGTTTTGCTGTATTCAAAGCAAATTTGATAGAAATATGTATCATCGTGATCGTAACGCGAGACGTGACGAGATAATGAGCCTGCTTTAACATCTTGTAGCAAAACATTTCTTATTGCATCTTTACGGTAATCGCAACCTGCCGTTCTCACGTAATGATTTATGCCTATAAATTGCTAATTGATAGCACAGCTCAGCATAAAACAGTTCAACCGAAGTAATCCATGTTCTCGTTATAGATATAGAGCTCGCATCTTTTCACGATAACGATTACGTTTAATCCGTACGAGTCGTGTTTTTAATGCAGCCTGCTCGTCCTATGGTAAACGTTTGTAATTACTGTGGTAGGAATAAAGGATGTAATTATCATTCAAACCAGGGGGCGCGGTTCATCGATGTTGGATGGGCCCTCTGCTCTCATAAGGCCTTTGTATGCGGCCATGTGTACATTTGTGGGAGGATTTAATCGACAGCGTCGATCGAGTCGATTCCGAAAGTGGCACTGACACGAGAAATCGAGAAACAATAGTAGACCACCGACGAGCATGTTTTCCGTACAAGGAACATAATGTTGCCGGACACTGTACATGTTTAGATTCAATTCATGAAATACGAAGAACATCCGAGATAATAAACGTTATCTCGATATATAGATAATGAATCAGATTTAAAATGCAACAATATGTTATACGTAACATTTGTCTGCTATAATAATTTTGTGAGAAAAAGTTTCAATACTTGTTCTTTATTTTTAAATCTTCTTTGTCTTTGATGCTATTAAAATATTTACATATCCCGTTGAATTTTTTTCCGCTTAATTGTTCTAACAATTGCACACTCCACAATTTCTGCTTCCGACTTATCAAGTCTGAGATAACAGAGAGTTGAAGCTATAACAGAGTCATGTCGCGCGCGCATATTCGCATTTGTAGACGGCGGGATCGCTCCGGAAACCGATTTACACGACTTTAACGATCTCTCGTGAAATTTACGAGCGGTCGCAGCCGCGTGCTCCAGCTAGCCCTCATGCTAGCCCCCTCGAATACATCGCGCGCCGGTACAGAATAATTCTTTTACTGCCGCAGGTGTTGCTATGCCCGACGTATATCACCTGGCTCAGTCGTGGAATCAAAGTCCGGTCTCTGATGATATACCTCTTCCTAACTACGTACCATTCGCGTACCGTTTATCTTTTAGGAAGCCGAAGAATTTCTTCTGAATTGTTGAAAGCTATATATTATAGAATACATTTATTTGCTTATCCCGTATCATTTTTTTTTATATTTCTATAAAAGCACTAAGTGGGTATGTTTGTTTTTTTACACTTCGCATATCGGGACATTGATTTATTTTGAGCATGATAGAAGAGCAATAGTAGAGATATTGGAAGAGCGAGCAGAATGCGAGTGGCATCGTTCGGAAAAAAAGATTGTTCGATTGCGGTTATATGTATCAAGATAACTTATGAGAAGATATAAATTCATATTTCAGGACAAATTGCGTCCAGGCGCGATCAGAGGTGCATTCGCGAAACGAATTGCGTTTCGCATATTGCAAGTACTTCGCGTACTTTGTGCTCGCAAATTAGTTCCCGCGTTACGGTTTTCAATTTCTTCGAGGACGAGATGATATTGTATAATTTCACTCACGGCGGCTGTGTGATCCGATCGTCTCTCGCGAATGAAGAAGCTCATTCGTTTCTTCAGGCGGATTCGTTCGACTGCTTCTTCTTAGCACGACCAAGATAAAACGATTCGATAGTACGGATTCAATGCATTTTAAGCACGACCCCCTTGAAGTGTCTTTAACTTCGCGGAAGAGCACGCCCTGATCCGTAGGCTACACGTTCGCGTCATTTATGTATCGGGCACGATCGTTTCTCGGTGACAAAGTGCTTTCGCGATGAGGACAAAAGAACGAAATCAATGGCACTTTTATGCATAATGATGCAATTCGTCAGTAGCAACCGCGTGTATCGCAATTTAGAGCGATAAAACTGTCGCCTTTTATTGTGCTCGAGATCCAGCTTTCTTCATTTTCAAGCACATTTTATCAATTCTGCACGCTATTAAACATTAAAATAGCCCTTGCGATTATTCAATTGTTGCAGCAATAAGATGATAGATAATAGTGACAATAGTGATAGATATTAATTAATGATAGATGTATTTATTTCTTAATTTAATATTATTATATTAGCGCAGGAATAGATATTTATTATAAATTCGCTAAAATTGTATCTTTTTAAATTTTAGGTACGGCCATGGGAACTGTACTAACGACCATCACGGCGAACGACGTTGACAGTTCGCCGGTGTTGACGTATCGGTTCGGCAACTTGACGAGTCCGGGACCCTTCAGCATCGACCGATATGGCGGCAAGGTCGTACTACGGAAGCGTCTGGATGCCGAGACGCGGTCCGAGTATAGTCTTCAAGTGATTGCCAGCGATGGAATTCACGAGGCGACGACCGACCTCACCGTTCGTGTGACCGATCTCAACGACAACGCGCCGCGATTCGAACAGGCTGTCTACGTGGCTGTCCTCTCAGGTATATATCGAAGACGATTCTGCCCTTTCTGTCCGAGATGAATGAGAGCGAGGCAGGTAGCAGGCGAATTCGCGATCGAAAACTTTGACGATGATCGGACGCGATCGTCGCGGTGGTTATCGCGTAGCGTTCGCTTCAGCGAGCAGGTGATAATCCTTTGATTTATTGAGGAACGATCGTTCCTGAGATTGCGAGATCGGTTGTTCCGTGAAGCGGTAGCGTAGGACGGAATCGCGGGACGAGCGTTACGGAACGGCGACATATGAGATCCTTCGCCGGTTTCGCTGTTTTGTTGCCGCGTCTTCGAAGCATCGCGAATCTCTTATGGCTCATCGCGAATATACCGCGGTTATTAAAGTATACTAACCTTTGTTCGTTAATGATCCGTTTATACAAATTACGTGGTGAAAATTCCGACGATTTTAATGTATATCTCATTTAGACTTGTAGGTAAGCCATTTATTTATTGTATATTGTTTCTATAGTTTACGCGTGCAAAGTTGACATCTACATGACAAAATTGCGGTTCTATCATTAATTGATATTTATTATCGTTATAGTATACCGTGAGATTGTTATCGGTCGCGAATTCACCGCTAGACGATGCTTCGATGTTAGCATCCCGTTGAATATAGTATAGAGGCACAAAGAAATAAGGAAAGAGGAGACGGGAAGATACAGACGGGCTCCTCGGCGCGAAATAAACGCGCGTTTAAAAACTGGTTTTTAGTAGACACGCGTTGTCCTGTTGTCCGTGTTCCAAACTCGAATTGACACCGCGCCGAGATAAAGCGCGCGAGAAAGAGCGGCGCGCGGGTGAGAGATGAGAGGAGAAAAGAGAGAGGCCGAAAAAGAAGACGGGTACAAGGAAGACCGATGAAAAGTTAGCTGCTCGAATGCGAGAGAGAAAAAGATACAGTGTATTGGGAAGAAGGTGAAAGAAGAGAGAAGGAGAGAGATAAAGACAGAGAAAGAGAATGCGAGATCGGCAGGACAGGGCGGAGAGCGGGAATCATGGAGAAAGAGAATGGTATGGATGGAGTGAAAGAACTAAGGAGGATTACGAACTCTTCGCACATAAATAAATGCGAAGACACTGATTGCGAAGCAGCCGAAAAGCCGAGTTCGCTATTCGCAGACTGAGATCGCCAATTTCACGAAAGAATTCTCTCCGAAACTTGTTAAAAATACATAGATCCGCGCCTAATGGTGTTTGGTTGAGTGGCGGAGAGATAGGACAACAGGTAAAGATAGATTGGCAGGTGGTGGATGTGGAAAGGATTCAAACAGGAGCTCGTACGGCGACAAGCCGCGAATTTGCATCCTTCTCTCCTTTCCAGCTCATCTCGCGCTTCGTCTCTTATGTTACGAAAAGCTATGTAGCATTTTTTATCGAGGACAGGCACAGGTTGGTAGGTCGCAGATACGATCGAGCGGAGAATTTTTGGCGAAAGTTAATGAAACGCCTGGGCGGTTAATGGGATCATTATAGATGGATATTGTAAAAGTTATAACATCAAAATATATCGAAAATACTTTGTTGCTCTTTCC